GTGTGTGTGTGTGTGTGTGTGTGTGTGTGTGTGTGTGTTGCCAACAATGCATCTCTAAGCACTGGCAGCCTAGTCTCCTAGACAGTGAACGTGTGTGCGTCTGTGTGTGTTGCCAACAATGCATCTCTTAGCACTAGCTGGGACACTACTCCTTCAGAGACCACAGATGAGAAACAGCCAGTGTCAAGTGTGTGCAGAAAAGATGAGACTGCCTGCGTCTGTTCTCTTGGCTATGAGGATGAATGAGCTTGCACAGAGAATGTACGTCATACGGTATGCTAGACTGAATCTATGGCGAAGGTAGTTATTTACCTATAAAAGTAATGAAGCTCTTACTTTGGGTTATGGTTGCAATTTGCTTTACTTGCAGGGTCATGGAGACTGGGTGATGGATGTTGCAGTTAGCAGCAACAAGAAATGGATTCTCTCTTCCTCAAAGGTAGCAGTTAATCTACATGTGGTTTAGAAAACTAATTGGAAAACAGATTTCACTGTACATTTCAACATTTATGTGAGAAAAATATAGCTTAGTACAGATTTGGCCCAGATAATCTTTCTGTTTTAGTTCTATGACTACTTTAATTATAGAAAATACTAAAATGTTACATGAGGGTATGTATTTTTGGCATGACCCAAAAACCCAGTTTCTTTGATTGCTATAGACTATGTTTTCAAAATTATGACTGGCTTAAAAACATGTTTTTCTTATTCAAGAAATGTTTGTAAGATGCATACAGAATTACTTGTTCTTTGTTTACTTTATAAAGCTTTTTCCCCTTAAACAGCTGTTGTTTCTGTGTTTTAGGATTCTACTTTGAGATTATGGAACATTGAAAAGGCTGATCATATACCTGCAGTGATAGAAAATAGGAAAAGATGCTCACAAATAGTTCAGGTTTTGCTTTTTCCTTTCACTTTTTATTCAAAAACAAAATATGAAGGCTGGAGAGATGCTATCAAGATGCTGGGATCAAACACAGATTTTACCTTATTTTTTTCTTGCCTTTGCAGAGATCATGTACTTGATTGCGGGAGTTTCAAAAAATGGGATGGGAAAGTTTCAAAATAATGTTGCCAGTCTTCATCTTTGTTTAAAAATAGAATTTGGACAAAACTTTGCGTGCGCCAATGTCGCTGCATTTTTAGAAACAACGGTAAACCATCTGATGTGCTTTTCAAATAAAAAAAAAGGCTTCCTGTGCCTGATGCTCTTTGAAGTGACTAACTGGTTATTTACCAGTATTGCTGACCTCAGGCAGTAATGTTAATGAATATAAATCAACATATACTAACTCCTGGGTTTGTGTGTGTGTGTTCTGTGATTTTGTAAAGTGGATTATAAGGTAGATTACACTTAGAAAGGATTAACATTAATAGCCTCAATTCCATCAAAATAAACCAGTTACCAGGTCCCTGCCAATTATTTCTGATGTCAAATTTGCCGGTTCCTATACGCTTTTTTTATGAAGCAAATAAAACTAAATGAAAAGATAATATGGAAAATAATCCATAATTTAATTTTTTATCTATTACTTTTTATCAAAGTTTCCTGTTGAATTTAAAGTCCTCAAAATGAGCCAAAGCAATTTTTCTAAACTTTAAATATATCTGTTGCTAATGTGACAGCAGTAAAAATATATTCCATGTGGTCATATAACAGTATCAATTGATGGAAATTTGCAAATGTAGTTAAGGTCTGTACAAAGACTATTAGACTTTAGAAGTACTGGAAATATTTCAGCGCCAAGGGGGAAAAGATAACACCTGCTTCGTTATCTTTCTTTTTTGAAGTTTTATGCGTAATAAATTGCAAAATAGTACTATGTCGATCCATTAGAAATTAATTCAACAATCATGAATACAGCTGCGTGAAAACCTTGTCTGACTGAAGCCAGTAAGAAAAGGACTGAAGCCTCCTTTCCATTGGCCACTCTACACATGCGCTTTAATCTGCATTAGCCTATTTTAATGTGCATGAAAGAGTCACAAAAATGTTCTCTTTAGGTAATGAGTGTTAAAATAGGCTAATGTGCCTTTTTCTAGTACCTCATAATAGAACGTACTAAATGTAACGTGCAGTACCTAAAGCGCGTTAATAAACGTGTAGACACTCCCATTAATTTCCATGCGGTTGGGATTTCACCAATGG